CTGAGTGCTGGGATTAAAAGCACACACAGGCCCCTACTTAAACGCTTGAAAAACACAGAAGCAGGAGCTAGAGAAAAGTATCATTGGTAAAGAGCATTGGCTGCTCTTGTAGAGGACTGGGTTCAATTCTCAGCATCCACATAACTCACAAACATCCATATTTAGTTACAAGAGATCAGATGCCCATATTTCACCTCTGCTGGCATCAGGCAAGTATGTGGTACTCATAGGCAAAACGTTTACCCACACACATAAAGATATATAAGTCTGCCAGGTAGTGGCGGCACACACCTTTAATCCCAGCACTCAGGAGGCAGAGGCAGGCGGATCTCAGTGAGTCTGAGGCCAGCCTGGTGGTCTCAAACATACAGAGCGAGCTTCAGGACAGCCAGAGCTACACAGGAAGTCTCAACACCTCCCCCGCCCTCCCATCCTGGTTTTATGTATAGCTAATATATTTCTAAAGTATATAAAAAAAATTCAAGCAAAAATAATAAGCGTTTCACCGCTTCGCCTCTACGGTCTGCCTGCAACCAACAGAAGCAAACTGCTCTAGGTCCCGCAACTTTCAGGTCTAAGCACGCGCAACAGAGCCGGGCGAAGAATTGACGCATGCGTACTGAGCCGGACGCGGACTGGCCCCTCGTGATACGCCCTCCCCACAATGATTGGTCACCGCACGTGAGTGACAGGAGAAATTGCGCATAGCTCTCCACAAAATGGCCGCTCATTCCGACGCGAAGACGGACGTAGGACCCAGCCAATGAGATCTAGGCGCTCCGGGAAGGAGGCGGGGCCACAGGAGAGAAATTTGCGCGGGCTCGGGCTCGGCGCTGTCCGTCATGGCGGCTTTCCGCGACATCGAGGAGGTGAGCTACGGGCTGCTGAGCCTGCTGGGGGCCAACCGCGCCGAGGCGCAGCTGCGGCGGCTGCTCGAGCGCCACGAGCAGATGGTGGAGCGGCTGCTGGAGACGCAGGACGACGCCGACCAGCGGCTTCGGGGTGAGGGTGGGGCCCCTGGGCCTCAGTTTCCCCATCTGACAATAGTCATCGCCCAGAGACTTAGAGATGAGTGTCAGCGCTCGCAATGCCTGACTCCACGTGAACTCCGTAGCTCAGGCTGGCCTGGAAGTCAGGGGTCTTCCGAGTGAGAGCCCTCACGCCTAGCCTGGTTCTTCCCTTATGAAACGAGTTTCATGACAGTGATGTATAGAAACAAGTATAGGAGTTGGCAGGGCCTGACCCTTAAGAACTTTCCAAGACTCGGTCCTTTTTTTTTCTTTTTTTCTTTTTTAAAGATTTATTTATTATGTGTACAGCATTCCTTTCATGTGTGCCCGCAGGCCAGAAGGGGGCGCCGGGTCTCATTATAGATGGCTGTGAGCCACCATGTGGTTGCTGGGAATTGAACTCAGGACCTCTGGAAGAGCAGTCAGTGCTCTTAACCACTGAGCCATTTCTCCAGCCCCCCCCCCCTTTTTTCTTTTTAAAGCCAAATCTGAAGCAAGCTTTAATTAAATACTGGCCAGGCGGATGGGCTCTCGCCAGGTCCATACCCAGATTCCTGAAAAAACGGCAAGGGTTTAAGAAGCAAAACCTGCCGGGCAGTGGTGGCACCCTGCCTTTAATCCCAGCACTCGGGAGGCAGAGGCAGGAGGATCTCTGGGAGTTCGAGACCAGGCTGGTCTACAAGAGCTAGTTCCAGGACAGGCACCAAAAGCTACAGACAAACCTTGTCTCGAAAAACAAAAAAGAAAAACCTGTAATTCATTACATTTCCCAGCAGGTCCAATCAGGGGCAAGCATACATCCTATTTCCTACCTACCTCCCACCCACACCTGCAGATGGGTCAAACAAACGTGCCAAGACTCAGTCTTCAACATAGCTCTGGCGAGTTTAGAACTCTGTAGCTGAGCCTGGTTGAAACTCAAACAATCCTGCCTGTCTGCTCTCCAGTGCTGAGATCATACCTCTCTGCACACTTAAGTTGTTAATAGAGCAGTAAAGAACAAATAGAGCCGGGCGGTGGTGGCTTACGCCTTTAATCCCAGCTCTCAGGAAGCAGAAGCAGGCAGATCTCGGTGAGTACGAGGCCAGCCTGGTCTACAAGAGTTAGTTCCAGGACAGGCTCCAAAGCAACAGAGAAACCCTGACTCAAAAAACCAAGAGAGCCAGGCGGTGGTGGCGCACGCCTTTAATCCCAGCACTTGGGAGGCAGAGGCAGGCGGATCTCTGTGAGTTTGAAACCAGCCTGGTCTACAAGAGCTAGTTCCAGGACAGGCTCCAAAGCCACAGAGAAACCCTGTCTCGAAAAAACCAAAAAAAAAAAAAAAAAAAAAAAAAAAAAAAAAAAAAAAAAAACCAACCAGAACAGATATAGTTCTGGTCTATGTAGCAAATTCCGGGCCATGCAGGGCTGCACACAAGTCCCAATGGCAGATGCCTGAGGAGGGGAACCCCCAGTGTGTCTAGGACACTTACGTAGTGAAATACTTCACCCGTTTATAAAGAACCCTCCTGTAAGAGAGGTGAAGAGAGAGTGGGCAGAGAAGGGGTGGGAAGGCCATGTTTGCCCTGGAGGCCTTCAGGCCTGCCCATAAGAAATTACCATAAGCAGTGGTATAAATGAATTGTTTAGCCCGTGCCAGAGAAACCAGCTCAGTAGATACGTGTGCTTGAGTGCTTGAGATTCAGCATGAGCCCTTGTTGGGGCTGCAGACTCAACAGTTAAGAGCCCTGTTTCCAGACAGCCTGTGTTCAGTTCCCAGTACCCATGTCAGGCTGTTTACAACCTCTTGGACCCTTGTGGCCTCCACGGGCATCAGGCACACATATACATATAGTTAAGAAACAATAAGGTAATAAAACTTAAGAATAAAGTAAGCTTCTGAAAACCAGAGCACAGGAGAGGGGCCATGGCTGTGGCTTAGTTGGGGGGGTGGGGTACTTGCCTGGAGCGCACGAAGCCCTGTGTTCCATTCTCAGAGCTGCGTTAAACTGGCTCAAGGTGCGGACCTGTGAAACCAGCAACCAGACACAAACAAACAGGGAGTCGGGGATTTAAGATCTTAAAGAATTCAAACCCAGGCTCATATATGTGAGACCTGTATCAAAAGACAGTGCTAGGCAACTAGCTCAGAGCACACGGAACCTGCATGGGGCCTTGGGAGCAAACAGAATGAAGTGAGCTGTCTCAGGCCACCAAGATGCTTGCTGCCCAGCCTGACAACTTCAGTTTGATCCAGAGGAGCTGCACAGCGGAGAGCTGACTTCTGCAGGGTGACCTCTGACTTCCTATACAAACCATGGTATTTTTTATTTGAATGAGGCAGTGATGACGTGGACATTTGATTTTAGATTTTGAGAGACTGGAGTAGGAGGTTTGCTGAGAATTCAAGACCAACCTCAGTTACATAGAGTTTCTGGCCGGTATTGGCTTACAAAGAAACCCTATATCAAACTCATCCAGCCCTCACCACTACAGAGAAGTAATTCAGTGGCTCTACATTGGCCATATATTATGACCTGCTTCTGTAGAGCGACTTGGATAAGACAGAAGAATTCCTTGAGCGCAGGAGTTTGTGGCCAGCCTGGACATAGTGAGACCCTTGACTCTGCCACTTGACACCCACCCAAAGCGGGGACAGTTATAACAGGAGACATTGAGGGAACTGTACACTGACACTGAGCATTTGGGAGAATAGAGGCCAGCCTGAGCTACATGAGACCACCCCTCAAACAAAAGATAAAAAGTGCTGGTTTAGTGGGTAAGTCAAGTGCTTGCCTAGCATATAGAAAGTCCTGGCTTCCACCCTCAACACCATACACAACAGCCCTGGTGGATAACTCGGGAAGTTAGCTCTGTCCCTCTGCCAAGTGGGCCCTAGGGCCAGGACTCAGCTCATCGGGTTTGTTGCCATCCCACCCGACTGTGGCTTATTTTTGTGTTTCTTTTGGCACAGTCTCTGAGTTTAATCCAAGCCAGCGTAGAACGCTGCATCCTCCTGCCTCTGCCCCAGAGGAATGGATTACAGGATCACACTGCCAGTCTCAGTATTGAGTGTGTTCTGGCAAACAGGAGCACACCCAAATTCTGGGAGGTGCTCAGAAGCTGCTGGGGCAGCAGATGTGGGCGCAGTGGCAGAACTCTTGACTGGGTAGTGACACATATCTTTGGAGACTTCCTAGGCAAAGAACATCCAAGGACACCTACTTCTGTCCCATTGCAGAGGTCCTGGCTGTGGAGGAGGAAGTGGCTCAAAGCCTTCTTGAATTGAAGGAATCCACGTGCCAGGAAGGCACCAAACTACAGCAGCTGGACGTCGAGCTCCAGAATGCCAGCAAGGAGGATGCCTGTCTGCAGGCCAGACTCAGATATCCTTAACTCTACCAAATAGCCTACCTCAGAGTATACTTGGATTGGGTTAGGATGCAGCTCGGTACTGGAGCTTCCACCTAGAATCCCCCAGTGAGGGGCTGGGGTGTGGCTCAGTGGTAGAGCCCCTGCCTAGAGTCCCCCAGTGAGGGGCTGGGGTGTGGCTCAGGTAGAGCACCTGCCTAGAATCCCCCAGTGAGGGGCTGGGGTGTGGCTCAGGTAGAGCACCTGCCTAGCATGTGTCAGGTCTTGGCTTTTACCCCTAATACTGAAGGACAAAGATAGGCAGAAAATGTTTGAGCGCCAGGTGCTCTGACTTGGTGTCTGGTAAGGGAACTGTCCTTAGTCCCCCTTGAGCCTGGGCCTTAACTGACTGCACTCAGCTTGCCACAGAGCTGCAGGAACTCAGAGAGATGGAGGCGGATCTTCAGGAACAGGAGACAAAAGTGGATGAGGACACCACCGTCACCATCCCCTCTGCAGTGTATGTGGCTCAGCTGTATCGCTGCATCAGTAAAATAGAATGGGATTACGAGTGTGAGCCGGGGACCATCAAGGGCAGTATCCTTTGAGAATCACTGCACAGCTGGGAAACCTACATCCTCCAGTGGGCAGGCAGGTGGATCGTGCTGGAGTTCCAGACACGCCAGGGCATTTCTGGGGACGTGCTCCAGAGAGATGAAGGGGGGCTCTTGAAGATCATAGGGCATCGTTCACCACGTCCAAATGTAGAAGTAACCTGTCTCAAAGTGTATCTGTGCACTGGGGTAGTAGTTAGCTTTTGGGACTGCGGAGATGACTCAGTGGTTAACATCACTGGCTGTTCTTCTAGAGGACCCAGGTTCAGTTCCCAGCTGACGACTGTAACTCCAGTTCAGAGGATCCAACACCCTCACACAGACAGAAATGCAGGCAAAACACCAATGCACATAAAATAAATTGTTTAAAAAAAAAAAAAAAAAGGCCAGGCAGTGGTAATACATGTCTTTAATCCCAGCATTTGGGAGGCAGAGGCAAGTGGATCTCTGTGAGTCTGAGGCCAACCTGGTCTAGAGGGAGTTCCAGGACAGCCAGGGCTGTTACACATAGAAACCCTGTCTCGAAAAACCAAAAATAAAAAAAGTTAAAAGAAAGCTGAGGGGGTTAGACAGAAGACACAGATGCGGTAGAGTGCTTGCGGAGCATTTGGGCTCCACATCCAATAGTAGGGCAACCTGGAACCTACCTACTGTCTAGTCCCAATTGGCTGCACATCTATGAGGAACTTTCTGATTCTGCCCCTTGAGTGCTGGGATTGTAGGTATATGCCATCACACCCAGAAAAAATACCATTCTTAATTAAAATGAAATTAGGGAAGACCAGGCGCCTTTAATCCAGCACTCGGGAGGCAGAGGCAGGCAGATCTCAGTGAGTTTGAGACCAGCCTGGGCTAGAACAGCCAGAGCTACACAGAGAAATCCTGTCTCAAAATGAATAAATGGATGAATGAATAAATATAAGAAATTAGGGAGCTAAGAAGATGGATCAGTGAGTAGGGGCACATGCCACCAGGCATGGTGACCTGAATTTATTCCTGGAACCACTGATAGGAGGACACCAGCAGGCGCACGGTGGCATGTCTGCAGCCACAGCAGGCGCACGGTGGCATGTCTGCAGCCACAGCAGGCGCACGGTGGCATGTCTGCAGCCACATACCCACAGAGAAAAGGAAATTAGCCTGGGTAGTGTCACATGCCTGCAACCCCAGCACTTGGGAAACTGAGGCCGGAGGAATTGCCACAAATTTAAGGTCAGCCTGGACTAAGATAGTGAGAACCATCTCAAAACAACAGAATGTGAACACACCTGGGAGGACCATGTATACTTTCCTTTCATTGTACCCTCAGTCCACCACGGCCCCACTGTGGCCCTGCCCATCCACCTGGACAGCACTCAGCTCTCACAGAAGTCTATCAGTGACTACCTCTGGAGTCTGGTGGACACTGCCTGGGAGCCAGAGCCTGACCTCACGCCTTGATAGAATCGAGACTGAGGGGACCCATGGGGCATCATTCAAAATTAAAAGTCTATGTGCAAATGTCTGTGGTGATATTTTATTTGTGCTTTTGCAAATAAAATTTGCCTGAAGATCAGAGTGTGGAACTAGTTAGCCATAGAGACCAGGCAGTGGTGGCGCACACCTTTAATCCCAGCACTCAGGGTGCAGAGGCAGAAGGATCTTTTTGAGTTCAAGGCCACCCTGGGCTACACTAAATTGCTCCAGTCTCAAAGAGAAACTGCTAGGCAGTGGTGACTCACACCTTTAATCCCAGTACTTGGGAGTCACACACCTTTAATCCCAACACTAGGGAGGTGAGACAGGAAGGGATGTGGCTGGGCAGGGAGAGGAATATAAGGTGGGGGTAGTAGCTCAAGACAGCCTTTCTGAGGATTCATGAAAACGGATCTTGCCCACTTTGGTCTAAGAATTCAGTACAGGTAAAAGGTCTCTCTGGTGGCTGGAGGCGCTGCTTCTCTGATCTTCCTGCTTTTGTATCCTAATACCTGACTCTGGATTTTTATTATTAAGACCAATTCGATTCATGCTACAAATAACTGCATGTATTTATCTCTTGTTTTGAGACAATGTTTCATGGAGCCCAGGCTGGCCTGGAACTTTTTTAAAATTACATTTTTAAAAAATAATTATTTTGCTGAGTGAATGTTTTGTCTGCATGTGTGTGTATTAGCCGTATGTTCCAGTGGAGGTCAGAAGAAAGCATCGGCTTCCCTGAACCTGGAGTTAGAAGTGGCCGTGAGCTGCCATGAGAGTGCTGGGAATCGAACCTGGATTGTCTGCAAAAGTAGCCCATGTGGGGCTGGAGAGATGGCTCAGAGGTTAAGAGCACTAACTGTTCTTCCAGAGGTCCTGAGTTCAATTCCCAGCAACCACATGGTGGCTCACAACCATCCGTAATGAGACCTGGTGCCCTCTTCTGGGGTGCAGTATGCACATCCAGAACACTGTATACATAATAAGTCTTTTTTTTAAAAAAAAAAAAAAAAAAGAGTAGCCCATGCTCTTAATAGCTGACCCTCCTGCCTTGCCCTCTGGGGCAGGGTTTGAACTCAAGGATTTGCCATCCGTCCCCAGCACTGAGTTTCCACACAGCTGTCACACCAGCCATTTTACCTGAATTTTATGGTGTCACCTCGGGTCCTCATGCTTCAGCGCTCTACAGCATCTCAGCCCATCCCCCACCCCCACATTTTTATGAGGTCCAAGCCCTCACTGGAAAACTAGGCTTGTGCTCAAGTCCTGAACCACATACAGAGCCAGGCCGCCCCTGCTCCCCGGGGCTTACCTAGTGACATCTGGGTAATGTTTTAGGGTTTGGGGATACTTCAGGACCTTCAGCATCCCTGACCTCCGCTCACTGGATTCCAGTAGCACCCCGACAACAGAAAGTGTTCATGGCTCAGTGTCCCTGGGGAAGGTTACACACAGCATCTCCAGGACTAACAACATTAGCCGCACACTGCTGGCTGAGTCACTGCTGGAGACGATCCATGCCAGTGTGAGGCAGGGTGAGGATGGAGAACTCACCCAGCCCAGGCTTCCTTCCCTCTGGGGGTACATGCTGACCTGCAGATCCTGGCATCTAAGGAAGAGAGGGGTCATGGGGTCCAGGGCTGCCGAATAGCAAAGTTAGGGGGCTAAGGAGATGGTTCATGGGTAAAGGTGCTTGCCACTAAATCTGATGGACTGAGTTCAAACCCCTGGGGCCCATATTTGCCTCCACCTCAACAGTTAAGGGCACTGGCTGCTCTTCCAAGGGACCTGGATTTAATTCCTGCACCCACAGAGCAATTCACAACTGTAACTCCAGGGGACTGTATGCCTTCTGACTTCCTTAGACACTGGGTACACAATGCAGACATACCTACGGGCAAAACACTCATAAAATACGTAAATCTTAGGAGGAAGAAGAAAAGACAGAACAGGGCAGCAAGAACCACAGATGAGGCTTGACCCTGGCCCTGTGGGAGCTGCTGCTTTGCTGCCATAGCCCCTGACCTGGTACGGGAAGACCCACACCCATGTCACTGCCTTCACTGGAGCACACCAGAGGCTACTCCAGGGGACAGGGAGTGTGGCTCTGCATGCTTGGGCTCTGAGTCACTGGCCATCGCTGGCTTCCTGCCGAGGACATCCTGGGGCCAAACACCCACCCACAGCCTGGCTTGTTCCTTCCAAGGGAGCCAGCTACCCCAGGGGCCAGCAACTCATTCTTAAAGCCAGCCAGAGGGAGGAGCAACATTGAAGTTACCAACAAATGGAATCAAGTCTCTGGTGGAACAGGGTTTGCCCTGTGCCATCTAGAGACCAATTTACAGATGAGGGAAACTGAGGCACAGCTCCAGAGACTGAGCCATTTCCCTTGGCTCCCAGCCAATGGGCCCTAAAGCTAGGTGCTCCCTAGGGTACATAGTGTCTTCCTTTGATCTGTCACCAGGATGAAGTGGTTTGTCAGGACAATGGAGAGGCATCCAGCATGAGTGGCCAGCCCCTTTCTCTAGTCTTTCTACCCTCACCATAGGTCTGGGGTCAGTTGTATTCAGAGGTGTTGCCACTAGGCAGGCCCATTAAGCAGGAAGGGTGCATTGGCATGAGACTATGCATGAGGCTAGATTTGAACCCAGGGCAGCCAAATTTGAAGGATCTATCTGCTCAGGACTCAAGAGCTGTGCTGGTGTGAAGGACAGAGGACCAGATGTGGATTGTGGACATGAATATACTTGGGGACTAAAGCCTACCGGTGACTCAGCTCCACCTGCCACCTGACTTGTTGGGGCTAGTCTACTCTCACCTTGGCCTCAGGACCTCCTAATCCCGTATGAGTACCTGTGGAGGTAAAGGGAAGGGTTCCAGGGACCAACCTCAGATCACCAGGCTTGCGCAGCAAGTGCCCTTACCCGCTGAGCCATTGCTTTGAGGGCTTCAGATGCTAGACATGCACTGTAGACCACTGAGCGGTGACCCAGCCGGGTCCCACGTTTGAATGTCCTGTCTGCTGGTTCTGCAGCAGTGGCCCTTTCTTACAATCCTGTTATGTGACTGGAGCTAACAAGTATTCCTGGGGCAGTTATCTGGGAAGTGAACCTAAACCCTGCCACCCCCCCACCCCCCACCCCACCCCACCCCCGGCCTGGATTGGTCTCGGGTTTCACACCTGGTGGTGGTGGCCCAGCGGTGGGACAGGAATGAGGGGATAAAATGCTGGGGGAGGTAGGGCTCTAGGGGCCCCAGGAGGGAGTGTCCATTGAGCGCAGGGATCAAGGGGGAGGGTAGAGATGAAGACAGGATAACAGATGTGCATGCAGGCAGGCATCTGGGCTGGGAGAATGCAAACAAATTCAAGGGGCAGAGACCAAACCACCGCAGAAGGCTCCTTGATCAAGCCCGGCCTGCAGGCCAGAGTACGGGGCCAAGATTTTCCAGATTCCCCGTGGTTTGTGCCGAGTAAGGAACTGATTAATTAAGCCCCAAGTTTTTCCCACACCTTCCCCAAGGCAGCCAAGCCAAAGGGAGGGTCAGGAGAAGAGGGAGGGAGTTTCTCCTCTAGGGCAGGAAGCAGTTGTCAGGAGTGTCAGACAAGATGCAGAAGTCTTAGGAAACTTTCCCCAGGCGGGCTAAGTGGGGGCTGATGTGGCCTGGGAACCAGTTTTCTGAGACGGAGAACTGGAGTTAGGGGAAAGCTGGCTGCAAAGTAGGGCAGCCCCCCTCCCCCTCCTGCAGGCCTGGGCTCACTCAGTCTTGGGCTCCAAGCTGGCTCACCACAGACAGCTGTGGTCTGAGATACCATGAGCTGGAAGGAAAGCCAGCCTGGGGTGGTGATCAACAGCGAACAGCCGTTGGTGTGTCAGGACTGGCTTATGACTGGCATCCCTCTTGTCCTGGACAGAACTGAGTCCCCAGAGATGTGGCAGGCAAGACCACCACCTGCCCACCCTGGGTCAGACGACTGCTGGACACATTCAGGTCTTTCATTGATCCCCATTCTGAACAAAGAGAACTGCAGGCAGAGAAGACAGGAAACCAGATAAGGGAATCCTGTCCCCAAGAACCTCTCATTACCCTTGTTAGGCAGGCACTCTACCGCTGCGTTAAACACCAGCCCTTCAGCGCTGGTAAAGTAAGGAGTTTGCTTTTGAGAGTGAGCCACAGACCCCATGTCCACCTCAAACTTACCATGTGGGGCAGAGGATGACCCTGAACTCCTGATATTTCTGCCTCCACCTCCCAGTGGAAGGAGGGCAGGTGTGGGTGATCACACCTGGCCTTGCAGGACCTTGAACAGAAAGAAGCAGGAGCTAAGAATCAGAAATTCCAGCACCTAGGAGGCAGAGGCAGGTGAGTTCGGAGGTCAGCCCATCTGGGATACTGGAGATGGGGTGAGGAGGGGCAGTGAACCCATCCCCTTCCACGACGGCTCCTGCTCTACAGTTTGTTAATCCCAGGCCTCAAAGCGCCATTATCCTGTCTGCCACACCAGTGAGCATCACTTGATGCCTGTGCGGTCAGGTCCCCTTCCCAGGCCATGGCTCAGTTTGCAAAAGTGGTTTGGCTTTTTCCCAAAACGAACGGCAGAGGAAGAGCGGATGCGCCACCCTGTGGGTGGAGAGGAGATGACAGGCCAGTGCAGAGCTCCCCGCCACACTGGGGGAGGCCCAGGCTCTACGGTACACAACAGAAAACTACAGCAGAACCAGGATCTGAACCCAGGCCACTTACCTCGTTGCTGCTTCATTTCCCAGACTCTGTCCCCATGTGGGATCCCGCGTGGGAGATGGGTAGAGCTCTTTTACTCCCCCATCCACCCTAGCAAGAGTTCCTAAGGGCATTTGTTTCCTTACGGCAGCTCATTCCTGCACCAGCTTCCTCCGTAATCCCCGAGCCCCCATGGCGCCCCACCAGCCCCATGACTGCTCCCGTCCCCTCCCTTCCTCCTCAGCCCCTGGACCCCTCCCGGGGCTCTCAGTCTTGGACAGGCTTTCAGTTAGCATAATGGCCCCCATTTGCTCTTGAAATCATTATTTAAAATGTTTAGTTTTAGCCGTGTGGTGACACTCACCATTAACCCCAGACTCTGGGGGCCCACAGCCCCTGTGAACAGCCCCCCACCCGTACTATGTAAGCAAACCCCACAAATTCACTGGGTCACAAAAAAGAGAAAAAGTGTGAAAGCAGAAGGGGGGCTGGGCGGGAAGAGGAGGGCAGCTGGAGTGGGGTGACAGGAGTCACATGATCAGATACTCTGTGTGTGTGTGTGTGTGTGTGTGTGTGTGTGTGTGTGTGTGTGATGAAAATACCAAAAACGGGGGCTCTTCCAGAAGACCCGGGTTCAAGTCCCAGCACCCACATGGCAGCTCACAACTGTCTGTAGCTCCAGTTCCAGGGGATTGAACCCCCTTCACAGACATGCATGCAGGCAAAACACCAACGTACATAAATTTTAAAAAAAGAAAAAAAAAGAAAATACCCAAACAAAGACGTTTGGAAAGATATAGTCTCTATCCTAAGAAATACAGACAGCTGCAGACACACCTCTAACCCAACACTTGGAAGGCAGAGGCAGATGGGGGGTTTCTGACTTCAAGGTCAGCCTGAGGTACACAGTGAGACCCTGGCTCAAAAAACAAACAAAACTACCAAATAAAACCAACTCAACAAACACAAAAGTGTTTAGCTGAATGACTCATTTAGGAAATCAAGGCCAGACTATGGCTCAGCAGCTAGGGACACTCAGGGTACAAACAGAGACCAGAGAGCAGCCGCCAGCACCCACTTAACAAGATGGGGTTCTCTGCATGCTTGCAACCACAGCTCTGAGAGGGGCAGAGACAGACTGGGGCGTCCTGGCATCGGACAAAGCCGATGGAGCCCAGGTTTAGGGAGAGAGCTTGCCTCAAAGGACAGGACACCCGAAGCTGGCTTCTGACCTCCACACGGAGGTGTGCACCCGTATAAACACGGGCATATATGCTTATAGACACATACATAAATAAAACTAAACGTGTTCATCACACAAGCTGGAGGACCTGAGTTCAAGGCCCAGAACCTGGGCAGGTGTGGAGCTGCCCTCTGACCTCCAGTCCCGTGCTTCTTCATGCCACATCTCACACATGTACACACCTCACACATGTATACACAGAACACATGTACACACAGAACGATAACAAGGTTTTCAAGAGGAATTTAATCCATCATAGTAAGACACTTTCAGTCCATGTAAACCCTAAACAACGGGTTCAAATCCGTTCCCATGCCTCAAGGCAACAGTCCATTCAAACAGTCTTCGTACACAGCATCCCGGTTTCAGCCAGTCAACCTGGAGAAACGTCACCAACAAGTGCAGCAATCAGGGTGTGTAAAAATAAATAGATTTAATAGATAGTGTGATAACCTCGAACAAACACACAGAATGAAGACAGCCAGGTGCGCTGGCTCAGAGCTCCTTACAGTGCGCGCCTCCTGTCCCGACAGTGGGGCCCTTCAGCTGGGTGTGTGCAGGAATCCAAGGACGGCCACGGTCATCCTGAGTTTCCAGTGTGGCAAGTTTGTGGTGATTTCTTAGTCTTCTTCTAAATTCCCCCAAATGACCTGATTATGGGATTTCTTTTGGTTTTCAGATATAGTCTCACTGTGTATCCCTAGCTGGCCTGGAACTCAGAGATGAGCCTGCCTCCTCTTCTTTAGTGCTGGGATTAAAGGTGTGCCCCACCACGCCTGGCTGATTACGGGATGAAAAATCCTGCAGGTTTCTTGCCTTTCTTCCTTCCCTTTTTCCTTGCTGAGGCAGTGTTCTACTGTGTAGCCCAGGCTGACCGCCAGTTCCTGGCACCCCACTTGCCTCAGGCTCTCCTGCTGGGTTGACAGGTGTACACCAAAGCCCAGCTGAGCAGGGAAGTCTCTGTTGGCCTGAGAGGAGCTGAACAGCCAGACTGCTCCAGGTGCTGACACAGAATCAGAAGCTATCAGGAAGGGGGCTAAAGTGTAAGATATACAGTAGAAAATAAAATAAAATAGAAGCCAAAGAGGCTCTGGCTTTCCATCCCAGCACTGAAGAGAGCAGATCTTGCGGATACTTGGATCCTGATCAGTCTGATGTCTTCCTTCCTCCCTGGGCATCGCCTTCTGTGGCCAGTGACATGGGGCCGCTGCTGGCCCAGAGCTCCGGCACAGCACACCACCAAACAGTGCAACCTCAGGGTGCAGGTGGGGAGCACACGGGTGCCCAACCCTGAACTGGGAAAGTGAGGAAATGAAGCGCAGGTCCCATGCGAACAACCAGGCTGCGTGGGGCTGCGTGCGGGACTGAGGTCCTGACAGCCACGCCAGAGCAGCAGGAGGCCCGGACAGCACACACAGCCTCAGCTCCTGAGCAAGGCAACTGGAAGTCTCAGGCACTTCATAGACATGAAGAGGGCATGGCGGCGCAGGCTTGTTCCTCCAGGAACGGATGAGGTCTCAGCGGAGGCACGGGCAGGAATCAGTCACTGGTGCTGCTGGCCCCAAGATCAGTGCCTGAGTGCCACAAGTCACTTCCTGGCTTCTGCAGGGCCCACACCAGCTTGGAAGGCCTGATGGGGCGGCAGAGCCGAGGCGTCCTGGAGGGCGGCTAAGGCATGCAGAGTGGAGGTAAATGCAGAGAGTCCTGAGTTTAGGGATTGGCCGGGGTACCTGGGACCCTGTCACAAGCACCTGCCGCTCGGGGAATGTTCAGAACAAAGGGCCTCTCCACCTGGGTCCCTTCCTCCTTCCTGTGAGTGGAAAGCAGGGGATGAAGAAGCTTCTGGGGTCGCCTCTTTGCCTTCCAAGGAAAGAAAGATGGGTGGAAAAATCCCAGCCAGAATTCCTGTCCTGAGCACGGCCAGCAGCCGTTTCTGCCCCTAGATAATAAATATATAAAACAGGGCCTGGGGCAGGCAGGCTGCTGAGCTTGGCCCACAGCCCAGTTTTACTCTTATCTTGCTTTGAGCAACACAGAGGCCACCGAGGTGACAGGACCAGTCCTGGACAGGGAGGTGTGGAGAAAAAGTGTCCTTCCTGCCTGAGAGTGGTAATGGATCCCGGAAAGAGATGGTTCTAGCAGCTGTTCACGCCACATCATCCTCCAGGCTGACCATCTGTCTCTGTCAGCAAACCACAAACACAGGAAACAGTCAGTCTAATGGGCAGTGCACAGGGCCAGAGCTCAGCAGATCCCACTCTACACAGCAGGCATCTAATGCCTCGGTCCCCTGCACAGCCACCAGAGGGTGCTGGGTAAAGCCTCTTGTGGAGAACCCTCCTGATGCTCACAGTGCAGGAGTCCTCCCTAGGGCTCACAGGGCAGGAGTCCTCCCCAAGGCTCACAATGCCCTCTTTCCTCACCTCCAGGCTCTCAGATCATCCACTTTCTTTTTTCAAATTTTTTTTGTGTGTGTGTGTATGGGTGTTTTGTCTGCATGAAAATCTGTGCCTCACACGTGTGCCTCATGCCTGCGGAGGCCAGAAGGTGTCAGATTCTCTGGAACTGGAGTTACAGACCATTGTGTGTGTGAGAACAGAACCCAGCTCCTTGGGAAGAACAGTCAGTGTTCTTAGCAACAGAGCCACTTTTGTCCAGTCTTCCACATGCGTCTTTTTTTTTTTTTTTAATATTTATTTATTTATTATGTATACAATGTTCTGTCTGTATGCCTGCAGGCCAGAAGAGGGCACCAGACCCCACTACAGATGGTTGTGAGCCACCATGTGGTTGCTGGGAATTGAACTCAGGACCTTTGGAAGAGCAGGCAATGCTCTTAACCTCTGAGCCATCTCTCCAGCCCCCACATGCATCTTAAATGCATTATGCCCAGTCCTATCTCAGGCCTCTGCAACGGACTGCTTCCTCTCATATTACCCAATTTCTACCCAGAGGAGCCTGAAACCTCCTCCTGCAGTCACCGAGGATGAAACATGGACTCAAGCATGTTAGGAGGGGCTCTGCCAGTGACTCCTGCCTAATTCCCCACTGACAGAATCTAGGCAGGGGTTCTACCACTGAGCCACACCCCAGCCCCTCACTGGGGGATTCTAGGCAGGGGCTCTACTGCTGAGCTGTCACATACCCCTGGCTTCCTTTTTTCCACCTAACTTCCGTCCTTCAGCTTCTTAGTTGCCCTCTCTCCCACAAAAGGGCACACTCACTGAGGGGTAAGTGTAGCCGTCCTGGCTTCGGCAAATGTGGAGTTCGTCCTCTGTGGTCTTCTGGTACACTGGGTTGTCAAAGTTTATGCTGTTGATGCTCCTTAGCCGCCAGTTCCTCCACAGCAGGATGGCCCCAAAGACAAGGAGGATGACCAGTGCTGTGGGGAAAGAGGGCCTGGTCAGGGCGGGCCCCAGGAGGCCTTGCGCCAGTGAGACCATGGCATTCCCATTCTGGCTCCTTTACATGACCACGATGGGTTCTGAATGTAAACTTATACTTCCTTATCAGACAAAGAAAAAACCCTGCAGGGTGGGAGCATCAGGACCTGTAAGCCTAGCACTTCAGAGGGATGAGGCAGGAGGATGCCAACTTCTGAACCAGCCTGGGCTCCACAGCTTGACATTGTTCTATCTTCTGAGATCCTGACAACTTTGCTTTGTTCGTTTGGTTGTGTTTTTCTGTTTGTTTTGTTTTGTTTTCCGAGACAGGGTTTCTCTGTGTAGCTTTGGAGCCTGTCCTGAATCTCACTATGTAGACCAGGCTGGCCAGTAACTATCGATAGAGATCTGCCTGCCTCTGCCTCCCGAATGCTGGGATTGAAGGTGTGTGCCACCACATCTGGCCATCTTTCTTTTTGCCAGTCTAGAACTCTGTAGACCAGGCTGGCCTCAAACAAACTCACGAGTTCTGCCTGTGAGATTAAAGCTGTACCAGGGGTACTCAGTCTTATCTGTAAGGAAGGGAGCTAGAAGGGGGCAGGGGGTAGAGGCGGGCAGGGGCATCGTCCCTCACGCAGGGACATTCCATTTGGGGTCAGAGAGGTGGAGTGGCCCAGGAGGGTAAGCATGAAGTCTCAGGGGCCCCACCACATCAGCAGCCCAGCCAGCACTTACCAATGGGGAGGATGATGGACAAGACACTCACTCCCTGTGGCTGCTCCTCGCTCCCTCTGCCACCCTGGACTGGGGTAAGAAAAAAAAATGGAGTGAGGAGGCTGAGGTCAGAAGAAGACACACGCTAGACGACAGGAGCCACCCGAGGAGACTGTCTGACACAGTCTTCCTATCGTCCTGTTCAGGGAAACCTGGAGATGCTATCAAGGTTTGCATAAGTCATGTGGACTTGATCTCAGGCAGAGCTGTCCTCCAGTGTCCACAGAGGATCCCAAGACCCCCAAGGTGGAAGGAGAGAACAGACTCTCACAAGCTGTGCTCTGACCACACATGCATGGTGGCACACTCCCCAATCCCACTAACCAAATCAGTGTACTAATCAAATATAGGGTGGGCCTGGCCTTTACCTTGGTGGGACATTGTCACCGACTCAGCCGTGATGAGGCCAGGGATGTCCATGGGCTCCCTGGAAGTGCTGGAAGCCGACTGATCCTCCTTGTGCTGTGGAGACCTCGTGGTTGCTCCAGTGACCACAGACCTGATGGTGGATGTCCCCTGGGTGGTCAGGACAGGTGTGACTTCTGATGGGACAAAACACAGGACGTGAGTGCCATGAGCTGAGGTGCCACTCACACTTTGCATGGAGGGCAGGCCAGGTCCAGGGCCGTGAGGAAACAAAAACAAAGGCGGTAATGAGCAGCTGGCGGCACTGCTCCAGAGTAACCTCAGACTTGTGATTCTCGTGCCTCAGCCTCCAGAGGACCTATCCTGTTCTTACAATAGGATTTGGAAGTGTCGAGGACACTTTGGTCCCTGAGATGGGACAGTGACCTCCAAAATGCACGTTAGGAACTCAACCACTGATGAGCAGGGATGGCTCACATCTTTAATTCCAGCACTCGGGAGGCAGAGGCAGGTGGATCTCTGTGAGTTCGAGGCCAGCCTGGTCTACAGAGTGAGTTCCAGAAAAACCAGGACTACACAGAGAAACTCTGTCTCAAAAAATCCAAAAAAAAAAAAAAGAAAGAAAACTGAACCAATTTTTTTTTTAATTTTTTGAGAAAGGGTTTTCCTTGTGTAGCCTGGCTGTCCTGAAACCTGCCCTCCAATCAGAACAGTTGTCCTTTATTATGAACAGATAAAATGAGAACACTTGATCTCTTCCCCTGTTAGCATGCAGAAAGAAGTGCCCTCTAAGACTTCCAGAATCCAGAACCATGAACTTCTATGCTTTTTAAATTATCCAGTTTCGAGCAGTCTGTTTTAGCAACAGAAGACAGACGGAAACAAACCCAAACTGAGCCTTTCTCAGATGATGTCAGAGACAGGGGTCCTGTTTCCCACTTGATACCCTGGCCTAAGTCAGATGACTTCCACAGGAGCTAAGATACAACGGGGCCAAAAAGGGGCGCCCAGTCTAAGTGTATTTAGTGCATCCAGGAGTCCCCAGACAACGCTGGTGTCCAGTCAGCCTTGGCAGGCTCATGTGGGTACAGCTCCAGGGACTGTGCCCCTACCTGGCAGGCAGCTCCTCATGTCGTCGGCCAGAAGCATGCCATCAGGACAGGCACAGGTGAACTTGGGGGAGTGGGGGTTGATCTGCGGGGCCGGCAGGCACAGGTATTCACAGCCACCGTTGGGGAGGGCCGTTCTCTCACACCAGTTCACTCCTGCGGGAGAAGAGGACGTTCAGAGAGACGAGCTGATGGCATCAAATGCACCAGAGCCGAAGTCTCGGGAATACTCAGACAGTGGCAGGGAAATGCATTTCAGGGAAGGGGCTCACCTCTAGGCTGTGTGATGTTGTGGAACAGGACAATGTCCTCTGGCGACAAGAGGTTTTCAGCCACCAAATTCACATCTGAACCCGTGAGGCGATTAGCACTGAAAATGGCTTCATTCATGACATCCGTCCAAAACACTTTGTCCTACGGGTGACGTGCAGAGGACGAGAAAGCCCATCAGCCACCGGAGCAGCACGCATCGCCATGACCTCCCCAAACTTCTGGGGTTCTCTACGCACAAGCAATACTGGGTATGGTGGAAAGTTTCTACTTTATAATGTAGTGATGGGGCTAGACAGCTGGAGAGATGACTCAGAGGTTAGGCGCACTAGCACTGGATGCTCTTCCAGAGGACCCAGGTTCAATTCCCAGCACCCACATGGCAGCTCACAACTGTCTGTAATCCAGTTCCCTGGAATCTGACACCTTCACACCAAAGCACAGAAAATAAAGTTAAAATAAATTATTAGCTGGGCAGTGGTGGTGCACGCCTTTAATCCCAGCACTCAGGAGGCAGAGGCAGGCAGATCTCTGTGAGTTTGAGACCCGCCTGGCCTACAAGAGCTAGTTCCAGGTCAGGCTCCAAAGTTACAGAGAAACCCTGTCTCGAAAAACCAAAAACAAAACAAAACAAAACAAGAAACCCAATAAAATAAAAAAAAATTATTAGAAAATAAATATGTGAAGGTGTATAAAATTGTCCATTCCTAACCATTCTGAGTGCATGTGTGTGTGTGTTGCATGCATGTGCTCATGTTTGGCATGTGCTCTGCACACATATTCGGGCTGTATGTGTGTATGGAGGTCACAGGTGGATGTCAGGTGTCTTTCTCAGTTACTCTACCCTTAATTTTTTGAGACAGAGTCTTTCACTGAACCTGGAGCTCACTGAGCTAGCTACACTGGCTGGCCAGTGAGCTTCTGGCATTTTCCTGTCTCTTCATGAACTCTGGTTCCAATCCTAGCACCACAAAAACAAAAAACAACAGAAAAACCCAAAAACAGTAACAAAAAACAATTCCAGGAAAAACCTGCAACTCTACCACCTCTCTAGAGCTCTAGATAAGAGCCAATATCTAATCAGTGTTGGCTCAAATGGATGGGAAAAACCTAGGGCTGGACCAAATCCCCTCACATTCCCAGGGTCACCTCATAGATGGCCAAGGAGAAGGGGTGGGCAAGCTGCTTCTCATCCTCCAAAATGGTCTTCCGATTGCCCCCATTGACATCGATGCTGGAGATAGAGTGAAGTTTGGAATCGACCCAATAGAGGCGGCCACTGGGAATATCTAAAATGCATGAACAGACAAGGAGATATGGAGAGGTCAGAGGTAACAAGATCATCCACTTTGCCTGAATATTCCAGAATGTTCTAGAAGATTCTAGAATGTTTCAGAAAGTTCCAGACCATGCCAGAAAAATTTCAGGGCACTAACTTGGGGTAGAAGGGACATCTTTGGGAGAAGTACTCTATCACATATGACCCTGAAGGCCACATTGTGGTCTTTGTACCACCCAGTAACCCTTCCAGCTGCATAGGAAGTGGGTAATGTCAATGACATAATGTCAAGGATGTACTTTACGGTGCCCAGCCCCAGCAAGCAAGACCACCCCCTAGATATACCTAGTGTGATGCCATTCGGCCACTGGATGTCCTCAGTCACCAGTGAGTAGATGTCAACACCATTCAGGCCCCCTTTCTTGATCTTGGCAGGCGTCCCCCAATCTGTCCAGTACATGAAGCTGGGAAAACAGACAGAGATGAGGACACTCTGACAGCCGGCTCCCACTACCGGTGACAAGGGTCAGCTTAAACAGCTCGCTCTCAGTTTGGAACCACACTGGGCTCTTTGTACATGGGCAGTGAGGATGGACTCAGGTCCCACGCTTACAAGGCTGGCCCTTGACAGACATTTCCCCTCCAGCCCTCCACCCTGCCGCCAACACCAGCTACAGCTTCTGCAGGGTCCTCCCAGCCAAGAGCTGCCACCTAGGATGGTCAGCCCCGCTCGGCAGGTGTGGAGTTAAGCCGGGGTGTGGTGGTGCGTACCAGTGACCGCAGACGCTGCAGAGGAGGTGCTGCAGCATTCAGAGTGCAAACTACGCCTGAAGCACAGATCTGAGATCACTCCTGCACGGACACGGATGTGGCCTGACAGGGACAGCACTTACAGGGGTGGGGGTGGGGAGCCTCCCAACACGGAATGCCCAGCAGCTGCTCAGTCTGTTGGGCCCTGACAGAGACCAGTAAGCAACAAATTCTTATAGACCTGTCTGATTCCCTGAATGTCCAGGACACTAACAGGGGATTCTGCATAGTGTTGTATGCATGTGTGTGATGTACGTAGAGGGTAGAATACCATCTAAGAAATGCTGCCCATGGGGCCAACAAGGTGACAAGCCTATGCTAGCCTGGGAGGTCTGGGCACAAAATTAAGGCGTTAGCATTAAAACACATGCACCACGAAGCCCAGGCTGTCTGCTTGTTCCTTGTTCTGGGGATGAAGCGAGAGCCTCCTGCACACTTGGAAGGTACTCCACACCCCCAGCCTAGGTCACTGCGTGTTTCAGACCATGACAGAGCTGGGATGCCTTGAATTTCTGACATGCCTGTCTCTGTCACAGGTGTTCGACCACGAGGCAGAAGCCAGGACTTTATGCGTGTTAGGCAAGCACTCTACCAAATGAACCACATCCCCAGCACCTTTATTTTATTTTATTAACATTTATTTATCCACTGCATGGACAAGTGTGTGTATAACGCAACATGTGGGGGGAAGGGGTTGACTATTCCTGAGATTAAACTCAGGCTTGGAAGCAAATGTCTTTACCCACTGAGCCAGGATTTGGGTTCTCTGTGTAACAGTCCTGGCTGTCCTGGAACTTTGTAGACCAGGCTGGCTTCACACTCAAAGGCATCCACCTGTGCTGGGATTAAAGGCGTGCACCACCACCGTTTATGTTTCTGTGTCTATGTACCTGTGTGCCGAGACTAAAGGAGGCCAGAGGCATCAGAGCCTCCGGACCTCCAGTTACAGGTGGTTGTGAGCTCCCTGGTACAGAAACAGGGAATTAAACTTGGTTCCTCTGCAAGAGCAGCAAGTGCCCTTAACCAGTGAGCCACCACTCCAGGCCCTTGCTGAGTCAGCTTCTAAGCCGCTATTTTGATTATTCTGAGACAGGATCTCACTTTGCAACCTAAGCTATTCCATAACTCACAGCAATCCTCCTGTCTCAACCTCCTCAGTGAAGGGATTTCAGGTTTGAGCCACTACCTCCTGATGCCACCTCCCTGATCTTGCACCGACAACCCCCAGCCTCCACTTCACTGTCTCCCTCTAGCGCAACACCATCTCACCCAGCTACATACATCACATAACCCAGCTGTGGATCCCCCACCTTGATTTGCCCCTATGTCCTCTGTAGCCTCCACTCTGAGACACTCACCCGTGCACGGGGTCCACCACAATGTCTCTGGGTCTAGACCCTTTCTCTTGGAACAGCGTTCTCCTCCTTCCACCCCTGGTGTCGGCCACAGACACGCTGCCTGGAACCGAATCTGTCCAGTAGATGTTGCCATGGATCCAGTCTACAGCCAGCCCATCCGGGGCCTGCAGGTCCCCACTGATGATGGTGTCATAGGACAAGTTAGGCGCTCGGTCCATCAGGGCGCTGAGGTAGAAAAAAGGACCGCATTAGAGCCTGGAGCCTGGGCGTCACCAGGGGATGGGGTGGCGACAGGGTGACGGGACTGCGGCTCACCTGTAGATCTTTCCTTGGGACAGGTCAGACCAATAGATTCTATTGTTGGCCACTTCAGTGTCCAGGGCCACCACGTTCTTGAGGTTGGGGATCAGGCTGGTGTACTCGCTGCGGTCAATGGTCATCTTCCGGACCTCATGGCGGTTAGTGAAGAGGAGATACGCTACGGAGCCTGGAAAGTCATGCAGAGTGGTTACGGAGTCGAATCAGGGCTCCGCGCAAGCCAGGCAAGCACTCTAACTACTGAACCCGAGACCATGGGATCCATTTCTTTAGTAAGAATAACTGGAGACGCTACAGAGGCTCTCCCAGATGCAAGAGGGACAGGGAGAGTCCTACAGCCTCAGCCGGTGACCCCTAGAAAGGCCCCATGTCCTCGCTGTACTGCCCCCCTATCAGCACGAATCCCGGAGAGCTCCCATACCCAGACAGCACCCCAGAGAGGAGCTGCCCACCCCTCGGCTTCCCGTCTGTGCTCACCCACGGCCTTGCAGGCGCTGGTGTGAGGGTCCATGTGGAAACCGGCCCGGCATTCACACTTGTAGCTGCCTTCAAGGTTGACGCAGAGCTGGCTGCAGGTGTCTGGCTCCTGGCACTCGTCAATATCTGTGTGTAGTAACAAAAAGGTTTGCTCTGGGGAAGAGGAACCCTTCCTACAAGGCTACAAGTGGGGACAGGAGAGCTAAAATCAAAACGTTATGTCCTCCAGTACCCGATGATTTCTCACCCCTAGCAGACCCGTGACCCTGCCATCCACTCCAGTGCTAGATGATGTGGGACTTATCCAGCCAGCTGTCCTTCACTTCTTTATTTTCTTCCATTTCTGTTTATTTATTATTGGTCTCTTTATGTAGCCCTGGCTGGCCCAGAACTCGCTATATAGACCAACCTACCCTTCAATTAAGAGATCTGCCTCCCTCTGTCGCTCAAGTGCTGGGATTAAAATTATTTTGTGCCACACAGGGCCTCTTTTGTTGTTTTCTGAGACTTCTCCCATAGCCCAGGCTGGCTTTGAACTTACTACTAGAAGAGGACCTTGAACTTCTGATCCCACTACCATCCTGAGTGTTGGTTGTCTGTGTGGGCCACCTGCTGGGCTTACGATGTGCTGGGGTGGAACTTGGAGCTTGCTGCTTATGAGGCAAGTCAGCTGAGCCCCAGCTCTTGCCTGAACCTTGATGCTTTTTTCTTTGTTTTTGAGACAAGATTTCTCTGTGTATCCCTGGCTGTCCTGGAACTTCTCTGTGGACCAGGCTGACCTCGAACTCACAGAGATCTGCCTGCCTCTGCCTCCCGAGTGAACCTTGATTCTTGCTGAAGACCCCAAAAGGCAGGACTGCCAATGATCCACGCTTCCTAACAGTCAGGCCCCATTCAGTGTTGGCCCCTGGACGGCTCCCGATAGCCCTAAGAGGTGGGGACTGCACTCCTGCCCACTGAGCGCCTGAGGAAACTGAGGCACAGTGCTCAGCGGGCAAAGGCAGAGGTGGTCAGAGCCACGGCCCGGACAAAGCCACGGCCTGGACAAAGACACGGCCCAGACGGGCCGCAGACCTACCTTCACATTTGTGCTGGTCCACCAGCTGGAAGCCGTTGGGACACAGGCACTCGTAGCCAATCTTGAGGTCCTTGCAGACGTGGGAGCAGCCACCATTGTTGTCCAAGCACTCGTTGGTCCCTGCACAGGGTGAGGAGACACAGATAGGTAATTCTAGAGCCCCTTACTCTCCACGGGAAACACTAAGCCATTGCTTTGTCTTTGCAAAAAAACGTTGAGGTGTGCATGTGTATCTGCACGTGGGTGTGAGAACATGAATGCAGACACCAGGGCCAGGGGACTAGAGTTATAGGCGACTGTGAGCCACCTGACTTGGGTGCTGGGACCAAACCTGAATCTTCTATAAGAGCTATAAGTGCTCTTAACTACATCTCTCCAAACTCAAGAACGATTTTTTTATATTATACAAGTGCTAGGGATTTGAACTCAGGTCCTCAACTCCCAGCACCCCTCCCCTAAGGCCGTCTTGCCCTGAGCTCTGTTGGGTCTTAGTGATACACACTAGGCCTTCTGAACCTGTGGGGGTGGGGAGGCTCACGGCCCCATAGTCACTACATGTTAGTGCCACGTCCAGTTCCCCCAAAACACCGCACTTGCCCAGCTTCCCAGCACTCACTGCACTCCTTGATGGGCTCATCTGACCAGTCCCGGCAGTCCCGGGCGGAGTCGCACACCTTGTCCAAGGAGATACATTCGCCACTGCGGCACTTGAACTTGTTGGGTCCGTCACACTGTGTCACTAATTAGAGGCAAAGAGAACAGTCAGGAGTGGTTGACGGTACCACCAGTGAGGGGTTAGAGGTGTGGCTCAGTGGTAGAGCCCCTGCCTAGAATCCCCAGTAAGGGGTTGGGGTGTGGCCCAGTGGTAGAGCCCCTGCCAGGAGTCTAACTGTGTAGTCCCCTATTGGCCTGAAACTTCCTCTTATACTTCAGGACACTGGAACTTAAAGAGGTCCTCCTGCCTCAGCCTTCCAAACACTGGGATTACAGGGTGTTCCAGCATGCCTGCTGTGAGGAGTGTCTTAATGGGGTGTTTTCCCCACAGGGCTGGAGGTGAAAGCCAGGCTCTGTCTGGCTGGTTGCTGGGAGCTCAGCAGACAGTTACTGTTTAACAGAAACAGAGCTTGTTTCAACTTTGCAGGATCAAAAAACTTTTGGAGAGCCGGGGGGTCAAAAAAGTCTTAGAGAGCAGGGCAGTGGGGCACAGGCCTTTAAACAGCACTCAGAAGGGAGAGGAAGGTGGACCTCTGTGAGTTTGTGGCCAGCCTGATCTACAAAATGAGTTCCAGGACAGCTAGAGCTACAGAGAGAAACCCTGTCTTGAAAAAACAAAAAAACAAAAAAGAAAAAAACAAACAAAACAAAAAATTCTAGAGAGAGATTACAGTGACAGCTGCAAAGATATGAATTTTTGGTTGAATCGGGTTTCTTAGCCAGAGGTCTACTTGGTTCAGGCTGGCCTCAAATTTGTGTGCTTCCTGCCTCAGGCTTTCCATTGTCTGGGTCCAGACGTGCACACCACACCCAGCTCTGTCTGGCAACGCAGTTAAAAAGTAACAAGTAACTCCTAGTCCAGTGATTAGAAGTCCTGAGTTCAACTTGAAAGAGCAAACAGCAAAAAAACTAACAGTGAATTTTCTAAGTGAGAGCTGTTCTCAACTCAACATGTGAGCAAGGCCTCATCTTTTCATGGGATTGGATGGCTTGTGTATGCCACTAGCATGAAGCTCTGGGTTTCAGGCAGTGGTGGTGCACGCCCTTAATCCCAGCACTCAGGAAGCAGAGACAGATCTCTGTGAGTTTGAGGCCAGCCTGGTCTACAGAGTGAGTTTCAGGACAGGAACCAAAAGCTACGGAG